GACCTCGTTTTTCCTCAGTCCCTGGAACAGTATCTTAGAAGAGGCTACGACCATTTCATCCAAGTCATCAATTCTTTGCGCACGGACTTTTGTTATCAAACGCTTTATAACCTTTGTAGTTGAAATAGCTTTATTAAATAAACCAATGCACAAAAGAAAGAACGTTGAATAGTTTTGAAGGGGGACATTTAAACAGACAAGCACATCTGATATTATGCATTCATTTCATGCGCATTGTTAAGTAACACATAAAAAATGACAAACTTTTGAATTGAATTCGCTACTATAGGCGCCTTTTGTTTCCAGCGACCTGGATTACAGCATTCAGCAAGACACTATACAAACAGTTTTGTTTCTTTATGAGTTCCCATAATGACAAATGTACTAGGTTGAATCAAGAAGTATCTGTATTTTGGGCATCAGAATTCTTTGTGCACTGTGCATTCATTCAGCTGATGTCACTCATGTCACGCCACCTACCACGACAATAACAAATAGTCGTAAAAGAACGAAACGGAAAACATCATTTAGGAGAAAAGAAAACAAGGTACTAAGTTTTGTATATTCCCCTTCAAGTCCTGTAATGTTTCTAGCAGTAGGAAGATGTTTCTTCATTATTTATTAAGCGAACAATTCTGGATTCACCGTGACTTGATAACTGGCAGCAAAACACACATACCTTCTTACTGCTGCATCCTTACACATGGGCTTTTGCAGGAAAATTCACAGACTTGCAAGGACGATAAACAAGGCATGACATAATTTATGCATTGAGTCAAAGATGAAACAAATTCTTTATTTGCATTCGTGTCGAGTGTCATTTGCGTACTTTCAAATTAATGTTCATGTCAAACTGCTCGAAAAGACCACATGTTCAAGTCTTATGACAAAAGGCAATTTATATGAAGGATTTTCATATGAATAGGTAGCTACCATTTTTCAATTGTTATAGCAAAAATACAGATTGGTTTTTAAATATGCAGGGAATATTTAATTTGTCGTGTTATATGACAATAATTAAACAGGAGCCAGTGGCACATTTAAATCCTGCATACATATTCTCCAAAATGCGTTTATTGTGATTGTGCACGCGTTACTGAGCCTAATGTAGTTTTGTTTGCACATGAAAACTATTATTGCACATAAATCTGCCGTAAGAAGCCAGAATAGCTTAGTCGGCATAGCGATGGCCAGTGTTCGATTCCCGGCAAGGGAAAGAAACTGTACTTGCTTAGGTTTTTCCTTTAATATATATAAATGGCACAGGAGTTTCTCAGAAACCACACTCATGTTTCTACCAATAATTTTCCAGTAAAATATAGTTACAAATTTTTGTTTTCTTCATTACGGGCACTACAACCCTATGTGGATGTTGACGTGCATGTGAAAATAACAGACACACAACCTACGGTTGAATGTGAAGTCAGTCCCGTTTGATTTTCCTGAGGTTGGAGACCGTACGTCTTAGGAAACCCCTACGATACAACTTTGTATGCAGAGTAACTATCGACCATCTTTGGTTCAGTGGTGTGGATTTCAATGACATTTAAAAAACACTTGCTTAAAATCCCAGTCAGGAGTTTGACTACTCTGGCGGGATTTCCATTTCCTTCTCATTTTACCCCTCCAAGTAGATGCGAGAATATTACTTCGAAATCGGCCACAATAACTACCCCCACACCGCTCCCAACTCATAACCCCTCTATATATTGTCACGTGTTGGGTATATGTCACGCGACGAATAACTTCACGCCGTTCTAGATCTAGCGAATTTATTGAACACTCAATCTCACAATTACACAATTACTGCCATCTGCAGTATTACAAATACTTCTGCTGTTTCCATTCACTTCGGCGAATACTAGCCCGCAACTAACTTCCGCTGCACTCGGCGACTTCACTGTCTACACTGTGTCACTCCTGATCTCACACTCTGGTCACATACTGCTCAGCCCGCTTTTTATACCGTTCCCTGTTGCCTCGTGTTACAGAGGTGTTCTCTGTTACGTCACAGTGGGAAGTGTTGTTACATCACCGCGGGGGAGTGGGGCGGAGTGTTGACTGGCCTATTACCGTAGCAGCGGCAGCGCTCCTATTCAGTTACGTAACCGCTGGCGGAGGAGGGGGTGTCCTGCATATCGCAAATACGTCACACTGCTCCCTCCTTAAGGCTGTTCGTCCCGAATAGCCTAATGGTACACCCCCGTTCCTTTTCTTCCAAGGCTGTGCTTGCTGCGTCTCCTGTTGTTTCGGCTACTCCTTTCAGCGACTATTCTCCGGCCATTACATCCTCCGCTCCCTTCTTAGGGATACGTCACAATATGTATCGAGCTACGTGACTTGCGATTTTTTTTTTCTGTTGGTCACTTAACGATGTTTTATTCAGTATGTAGACCATACAGAGTGAGTCTTAATTACATGCCTTAAGTATAAAGATCGCGTTGTACATTTATAGGCAAGCAGGAACGGCCGTATACGAGTATATGTATGGTCGCAACAGTTTCATTACTGACATATGGCAACAGTAAGCACAAAGCAAGAGAGGCAGACAAATAACGCAGTTGTGGATAGAGTTTATTATCTGTGGACAGAAAGGCATCTGGCCAGTTTCTAACAATCTACAAAGGTAAAGGTAAAACGGTAAAGTTATCCCTGTGACAGGCCTTGAAGGCCCATAAGGTTGTGATAGGTTGAGGCTCCCACATCTTCTAGACAATCGGCTCACAGATGGCGGTAAGGTTGTCAGCCTTACGCGCCGGCCTCCCTTTACCCCCAGGAAGAGTCCTGGAATTCATTTCTGTTAGAGGCTGTGTCGACCCCGGGCCCTAGTGAAGCTAGAAGGATTAGAGAAATTGAAAAAAAAAAAATCCAATAACCTCATTGTTGGAAATAGAACCCGCGACCTTTCGGTTTGTAGCATAGTGCCTCAACCAACTACGCTACCGCGTACCCTCAGCAATTTACAAAAGATGTTGAGAAGGTCCACCATTGCAGTGAATGCATAATTGAACAAAGATACGCCAAGAAATCCTGGTTGGCTGAAAGACGTTAGGCATGTTGCATACGTCTTTTCGTCTCAGCCGCTTCGGTGGCGTTTCACATATTGTCCCACGTGTTAAATTGTTGGGCATAAACAATGCTTTTCAGATGGACCCACAAGTAGAAGTCGGCAGCATTGAGACAGTGATCACGGAGGCTACTCATGTGGTCCGTTTCGCCCCATTCGTTCAACTGGGTAGTGGTTGTCTGAACACCGCAGAAGCCCCATCATGCATTTTCCACAATGTCTGCTGAGTTGTCAACCGTGCGTCATCCAGCAGTTATGGTATTTTTTCCTTCAGATAGAAACTGTAAATAGGACATTCCTGACAATCGATGCGGTAGCTCGTTAAGAAGCCACGAGGAGAGCGCCCAAACGTTAAATAAAAACTGTTGCTAGAATTGTGTTTCTTGAAAGAATAAACTATTGTGTATCTCGGTTATGAAGCAGTATGAACCATATATTTATATCACCAATCATGCTTGCCTATAATTGAAGAATTGCATTTTAAAGCAAAAAAAGGTAGAGTTGTCCCTGTGCTTAACTAATTAAGCACTATGCCATGAAGACGTATTTAGGCTGGATGAATGAGGAGTCAGACTTCGTGTCCCGGTAGGGTGAAGAATTTCCTCTTCTCCACGTCGTCCAGACCGGCTCTAGGGCCCACCCAGCTTCATAGCCAATGGATACTGGTCCTCTTTCACCGGGAGTAAATCTGCCGGCGGGACGCGCCATAGCTCAAGCGGTTAGTCGCTGGCTTCCCACCGCGACGGCCCGGGTTCGAACCCGGGCCTGGTGAAGTGGGATTTGTGGTGGACAAAGTAGCGCTGGAGCTGGGTTTCTCCAAGTACTTCGGTTTCCCCTGTCAATATTCATTCCACCAAATTCCCCATCATCATTATCACACGGGGCAGGCTACAATAGACCAATCAGTGGCCGCCGCGCCGAGTGGACCCAATTGGGCTCCACCCCCCACTAAGGGAATTAAAAAAAGAAGAAAGAAAGCCGTCGGGGAGTGAAACTGGCCAGTCACCTCCAACTAGTGCCTAGGTCAAGAAAACGTGGATCAATACATCGGCTCCCTCCATACGATGTTTGTATTTAAGCCCTGTAATTAAGTCCTACTCTATATGTTTTCGGGTAGGAGGATGAGAGAAGAATGGCGAATTGGAAAGGAGTTGGGAAGAGCGACCGTTGCTTAGTCTAGGTATTGATCCGTCATATGCCTGGAAGGGGCTGAGCAAAACAACGAAATACAGGAACAGGTTAGCAGGTGACCCGGTAGAGAATCGAATCGAGCACCTCTCGACTACGGTGTCTGAAGTGTTACCTCTAGTCCAACCTGGCTTTTGACTTGTGTAATTGTTATTTTATTTTCATATATAAAAGAAAGGATGCGAAACTTTGAAGTTGTGCCTGCGAAGTTAACGTACGTCACAATCTCTAATGTTCGCATCCTGTTGTTTTATTAATGTATAATTGTCTTTATATTCGCCAATACAATAAATCACTTGTGTAATATGTATGTATTTATTATTACGGTATAATTTCAAGTTTTAATCTTTTAGATCATCTTCATGTGGTCGCAATTTACAAATAAAATCCGAAATTACGAAATAGGTAGTTCTTAAAATTAGACCCAACCGACGTTTCGGAGGAATCAGAGCTCTGCTTCCTACCTGTTTTATGCTGGTCTCTTGATTAGCTTACTCTCCAACTATGATGATCCAGGCGACATGTTCCTCCGATATGTCGGTTGATTTTCAACGGAGGACACGACGCTATACTCCAGAATATAGGATTGTACGGCGCTGATCAATGTTAATTATTTTTATTTGAAGTATAATCTGAGGTTATTCATTGTATTTTGTATGACTTATGATATAATATGTGTGTTGTTACAAGCATTTGATCTTCAGCCCGAACAGGGTTTAAACCTCTTTAATTTGGCCCTCAAACTATGGGAATTCCATCACCTAAGAAACCTGATGGTCCAGCCGAGACTCGAGCTGGTACCTCGCGAAGTCGTGATACTCGCTGCGGTAACAGGGTTAAGCCAGTTTTATTTCTCCTTCTGTCCATCCTTTATACGTTCGAATAGAATGTAATTATGCTGAAATGATGTTTAGAAAGTATTACATGAACTTCGTGTCTCTTAATGATGTTTATTATACGAAGTTGGTTTTGATAGAAAACAAAATAGTGACGAGCTTCAAGAAAACATATTCACCTGCTCAGAGTGCAGAATCCAGTAGGAGCTGACGTAAGAAACGGCGGGTTTGAATGACACACGTAGTCCTTTTGTAATTTTCTATGCTATATTCATTTTTAAAATGCGTTTTCTTTAGTTTGAAATTTGTTGTGACCAAGAATAAAGTTCAAATGGTTTAAGTTCCCAATGTTGTATACAGGAAGAGCTGTAATGTTAAAGAAGAAAGGGAAATTCTCTCGAGATTTTAACAGGTAAGTGGACTCACATTATCGGCAGCGACGCCGCTGGTCGCACAGCGTAACGAGGTGTCCAAGATGTTGGGCCAGTGTTAATGTTAGGTGCACAAATGTTACGCGCGCCTCTTGCCCCACCCTTTGTCATTCTGCTCATTGCATAATCCTTAGATTTGTATGTTTGTGTTCGTAATACAAGTGAGTAAGGTTTGCGGTGCCGGTCACGGTAGCCGAGCGGTCTAAGGCATGCACTGTCTTCGCTCGCTCGGAAGCCGGGATCGTGGGTTCGAATCCCACTCAGGGCATGGATGTTTATGTGCGTTTTTCTGTGTTTGTCTACAGGTAGAGGCCTTGCGACGAGCTGATCACTCGCCCAAGGAGTCCTACCGTATGTGTAAGATCTAGTAAACCGAAGTGAAACGGAGAGTTTCATGGAGGTAGGCCTAGGCCCAAATTGGGGCTGTAGCGCCACAGAAAAAAAAGGTTTGCGGTGACTATTTTGACCCTAATCCCAGTCCTGAAGCCTAACTCCGCTTCTTGTGGTTGTCCACAGCGACAGCGGTTTGTCCAGTACATTCGTTTTTAAGAACATATTACGGAAAATACACGTAAGATCTGTTACTTACTTATTCCTTATTTACACTGTTATTTGTATAAGCAGTTTATTTATTTCTAAATATTGTATATAATGTTATTCTATAGTTATCATAAATTAAAGTGACAATATCGTAACTGCCTTATGCAGTCTGGGATTTATATTTTATCAGCATATTTTTATCATTGCAGCCGGTAGAGCGCAGTCGATTTAACGACTGGCTACGAACTGGAAAACCGAGGGTTCGAAGTTCAACGCAATCTAAACTGGCTCTGAGGCCCACCCAGCCCCCTATTCAATGGGTACCGGGGGCTATTTCTCCAGTGGTGAAGCGACCAAGACATGAAACTGACCACCCACCTCCAACTAGTGTGAGGTCAAGAAAACGTGGATCTGTATGTCCACTCCCCCATACGCCCTCATGGCGTAGTGCTTAATTAATTAAACACAGGGTCAAATTTGCCTTATTTATATCGTTGTCTAATTATATTTAAGATTACAAAAAATACAGGTGAGGGAGAGAGAGAGAGAGAAGTCAGACGGACGCTCAAAACTGTTCATAATAGAAATAGTTTTGTTATAAGGCATCCATTGTTTTCGCATAGATGGATGGCACACCTAAAAATAAGAAAGTACTATTGAATTTGAGTCCTTAAATTTGTAAGTAATATGTATTATTCTGTGTTTAAGGTGAATGTAGCAGCATCATTTACAATGCGGAAGGTTCCTATAGCTCTGATAAGTTTATTTACTTGCTGTGCCCTCGGGATTGACATCGATGTCGCTATTAAGCTCATCTCTGAATTCATAACTGAGAACAAACTGAAAACCGCAATAGCCATGACTTGCTGGAAGAAACCAGGTAGCTGCTTAAATGATGTACCTGTATGGATTAATTTAACTAATTCAAATAACTGATAACTTACTGTACATATTATGAACAGTGAATTTACAATATCGAATGCTATGTCTGTTTCACAAGTGAAATATCTTTATTTATAAGATGCGCATTTATTGGAATTAATTTTAAGTTTCACTGGGGTCCAAATACACTTACTAGAGAACAAATTGACTCTAACGATAAACCTTCTGACTTGTAATCAGGAGATGTCCTGATCGAATCTCGACCGGGGAACCTGATATTCTGAGGATTCTTCGTAGTTTTCCTCAGTGTCACCACACAGATGTCGGTGTATTATCGTGAACTGTTACATGAATACTGTTTTCTGTATATTTCCTCTTCATTATCATCCAGTAATTCGTTGCTATGTACAGAGTTAGTGACTTCATTAAGTAAAGTACAAATAAATAATTAAACACAGTTACACGTGTTCTATGCCATGCTGATCGAGGACTACAAGCTTAATTATAGAAATGTTTAGCGCCGTATTAAGATGTTTTTAATATTCGGATATTCGTCTCGTTTGTTAAATAAAATTGTACTCATGCTGTAACGATTCTGTTTTATCAAATTCTCTTTCCTGGTTTACTTTACGTTGCTGTCAGCATTTAGAATACTTAGCGCCGTATCATAGGATGATTGGTGAATGAAGAATGATCATGGATAATCGAGGTATTATCCTGGAATTCACCGTCAGGACTGAAAAAAAAAAGAAACAGGAAAAAGTCAGTTGTATTAGCCGGTTTCCCGGTCAAGATTCAAACCGAACACCTGCAGAATTCAAGTCTAGAATATTAGTGCTAGACTAACCTAATCAGTTTATAAAATATGTAGGTTTATTTTACATGTATATACACATATATGGTGGCACGTGGTAGCGTAGTTGGCTGAGGCATTATGCTACAAGCCGGAAGGTCGCGGGCTGAAATTCCGATGAGGTCATTGGATTTTTTCAATTTACCTAATCCTTCCAGCCGCACTATGGCCCTGGGGTCGACTAAGCCTCTAACAGAAATGAGTACCAGGAATATTCTTGGAATATTCTTGGGGATAAAGGGCGGCCGGCGCTTAGGGCTGACAACCTTGCTGCCATCTATGAGCTGATTGTCTAGAAAATGTGGGAAACTCAACATCTCACAACTCTATGGACATCCACTGCCTCTTACAGGAATATCTGTACTTTTTTACTTATATGTGTTCTGAAATACAGAATTATATATATACTGGAAATTAACTCCATAGATCTCAGCCCCTCTAGAGTAGTTAACAGTCGCTCAGATACTCAAGAAATCACCAACATTTTATGGAACACTAAGATTCATCACAGTGTTCCTTAAGCCAGACATAGGCCTTATTCATACATATACGCGGGCTCGTGTACACAGCATATGTATGTACCTAAAGAGGGCATAATAGAGAGAGGGCTCGTTCTTCGTTTGAATTTTACTTAAATTAAATTCTATGTCAATAGCGACATTCCTTGTTTATTATGGTAGTCTGGAAAATGATGATTATAAGCATTGTATGAATAGGTCTATATATCATGGATGACCAAAAAGCTCTTTTGAAATAAGTTTTTGTTCTGATTCTACATAGATCAATTGAAGCTAGCTAAACGCTTGTCAGAAAAGAATGTGCCGTTGAACACGCTTGAGCACTGTGAAGACTCGACCAATTGCTCAGTTCTGGAAGCGGAATACAGACATTTGGCTGTCATTGCTGATCTGCGGTGTGCTGGCAGTTTCGAGATCCTTACACAGGTATGCTGCTGTAGTGAGTATAGACCGTTCACTTGTATACAAATGTAACAATGAAGTTTGAGTTGTAGTATTTATTTCTTACTGTAACATGGCGCTTTTTGGCTCCGATAATCGGGAACGTAATTCAGAAAAATGTTCCAAGTAATATATCTTTCAGACACATATCAAAATGGAACATGTTTATTACGTTTATATTCATATTGTCACTATTTTATGATCGTGACTAATAATAGCAGTTTTGGATTGGATGATTGAATGTATTGATCACTCCTTTACAATCACTCGTAATCACAGTAAATTACAATAACTCATAATAAATGACTCCCTAGGACTCGCTCCATTCTGGCCTCTATATATTCTGATCTGAACTACGGCTGAATTTATTCTGATCTGAGTTTCCTCCATGGAAACGCCTCTTGATCGCCCGTATCCACGGAAACGTCGTCTTGGTTTCCAAGAATCCATCTTTACGGAAACATGTTTGCCACCTTGTCCCTAGCAGCGGGTCTACATGTCACAATATATTTATAGATATGTATGTAAAAGCAATTAAGCTCGAAATATAAGAAGAAGTTAGAAGCGCGTACAGTACCCCTTACATACTATGAAGTTTCTTAAAGAAAATTCACTTAAACGTAAATCCCTAACCCTAATATATCTATGTATTTCGTATGCAGACGTCACCACAAATCTTGAGTACGTATCATATACCAAATTTCGCAAAAAAAAGTAAAGCTATCCCTGTAACAGGCCATGAAGGCCCATAGGGTTGTGAGACGTTGAGGGTCCCACATTATCTAGACAATCGGCTCAAAGATGGCGGTAAGGTTGTCAGCCTTACGCGCCGGCCGCGCTTTACTCCCCAGGAAAATTATTTAATTAATTCCTGGTACTCACTTCTGTTAGAGGTTGAGTCAACCCCAGGGCCATAGTGCAGCTGGAAGGATTAGGTCAGGTGAAAAAAATCCAATGACCTCATCGGGACTTGAACCCGCGACCTTTTGGATTGTAGCATAGCCCCTCAACCAGCTTAATATATTAAATATTAAAATGACGAATTTTTCACGCCTAAACAAGGAATGAGTCAACATATTTTCCAAGTGTGTTCTGTGTAATTCTACATACCTCTTGGCCTTTGTGTTTATATTACTTGTATATAACGGTAGAATACAATTTATTTCTCCTTAATACCATTAAATATGTGATCTTGCAATTAAATCGTCTGTAGGATATTTGTCTTAGATAAATTCTAATTTGTCACAATATTATCTGTTTACTTTTGATTTCTGTATACTGTTTACATTGATAAGGCAAAATAACTAAGTACTTTCTTTTTCCACACGGTACGAATATATATAAAACTTCACATTATATCAATATTTGCCAGTAATCATAACAATTAACAAATTTCATGATACAACGTTCTTCTTGAGTAGCTGATCATTGCTAAGCTCCTGGGGAATATATCTACTTCTTATGGAATTCGAAGCTTCATTGCTGTCATGAGAAACGTTCCCTGATAATCTCTTCGTGAACAGAATAAATCCACTTCACAAATTCACGCGCCAATATCTTTGGGATCCATTTTAATATTATTTTCTTGCTCATGTTTAGATATCCAAAATTGTTTCTTCCAATCAGGCTTTCCAACGAAACGCTTGTATGCAGTTCTCGCCTTATTCATGCCATTCAGTTCACAGTCTGTGATAATTATTTTTACTGACGAGTGCGAAGTATGAAGCTCCCCCCCCCCGCATTACCTAGTCTCTCTTAATTCCAAATGTTTTCTTCAAGAACATGTTCTCGGACACACTCAATCTGTGTTCTTCTTTTGTGAAAGGTAAAAATATTACCTGTAAATCTGTGTGTATACTGTAAATAATCAGTAAAATTACTTCTTTTGTTTTTCTTACGTATCTATTTTATATAAATATAGGAATGTTGTTTATGAAGTAACAGACGCCTTGCAGAAATTTTTTTCTTCTAGCCTTAAGAGCCCTGTACCTGATTTTGGGTAACTCTTTTTGCTGGTCTCATACAAAATGCCCATCATTGTTGCCCGTTGGTCCTCGTACTGTTTACAGTCCCAGAAGATATGTTCCTCCGTTTGCAGCCCATCACCACGTTCGCATTCGGCCGTGGTCACAGTTAAATCTGTTTAGGCTTGCTTTGAGACTGGTGTATCCCGCCCTCGTACGGTTTATTGACACGAAGGCGCGGCGGTTCATTTTTATCTGTCGGAACCGCGGAGACGAGCCTTTCCTGTAGTACCTTTCAAAGTAGCTTTCTCCTCTGTCCCATTTGGTGTTTTGACAAAAACTGTGAAGTTCTTCTTTGCCTTTCTTTTTCCACTGGGTTTTAAGCTTTGCAACCGGTAATAGTAATTGACTATCTCTGCCTTCTCTGATTGCTTGCTTTGCCTCCAAGTCGGCCTTCTCATTAACTTCAACTCCACCGTGCCCCGGGATCCAGTAAAATTTGATCTTTCTTTTTTCCTCGCGATTCCAGTCTCTCCATTTTATCTTTAAGCATTTGTGTAATGTGCGATGTGTTGCTTATTGTAGAGGAGTTACTAATTCCTTTTAACACGCTTGCCGAGTCCGAGAAAATAATGAAAATTTGCTCCGAGTCTATTTTTTCATTGATTTCTAGTGTTTCGGTAGTTTCTAATGCTTCCGCCGTGAATTTTGACGCTATCTTAAATATCATGAATTTCATGCTACGACCATCTTTTATATCTATTGATGCGAATCCTGGCCATAGGGATTCGTTGCGCTGACAATGCGACTCCTTCTGTCCGCTAAAATTGGCACTAACTTCGCCGACAAGCGGCGGGGGCTCGATCGGTATAGTTCGTTTGCGGACTAAAGCAGAATGAAGTGATCACACGTGAGGGTGAGTGTTTCTGTTCCTCGGACGGCGGCCGCCATTTTCTTGCACTCCAAACGATCGATTCGGGAAGCTTTGTGCAGCTGTTTAAAAGTTAAATTAAAATCTAAACTTACAGGCTTCAAACCGCAGCTTCTTCAAGGGGCTGCACTTCTGGCTACTGTTATCCATGTCTGGAGAGACACTTGTTTCAGTTGATGATCCTGTGATGATTGCCATGGAAACACTGAAACTGCGACTAGACAGCCAGGTGACTCTGGCTCGTCCAGGACCTGATTTCAACCAAGTCCTGTTACAGAATATCTACAGGCTTGCAGATCAACCTCTCACAGTGACTTCTCCCCGTGGCTGGAGTCCTGGAAGGCTCTTGCCACATGCACCACGGAGGGACGATTTCAAGGAAATAGTTCTCAAAGCAGGAGTTGCCGTGAGTATCAGAAGGTGTAATATGATACAAGCGAATTTTCTGCTTGCCTTCTCCTTTCCATATTCCCTCCTTTCCTTCAAAGCCTTGTGCATCTACGGAGTACTAGGGCTGCTCGTGGTTCGAAATACAAATTAAGTTCCGCCATCTCTTGGTCACCGTAGTAATCTTCACTAAAACGGAAGTCCCGCACTCAGGAACTCGGTTCCGGAGGTGAATTCCTACCTTCACCTATGTCACTCAGAAAGAGACCAAGATTGTAAGAAATCACATTGTGAGGCATAAACTATGTAACATCCGAAGAAATTTACACACCTTTTTTTAGTTTCTTGGGGAGGGGTGAGACTGAGTCCACTTGGTACTTCGGCCACTACTGGCCTATTGTGCAAGCCCAGGATTATAGATAATCAGCGTGGAGCAGTCGGTGGAATGATAATTGACAGAGGAAAAACTACCCCAGTGACACTTTGTTCACTATAGATCTCAGAAGACGTGACCTGGGCTCGAACCCGGGCCGCCGGTGTAGGAAGCCGGCGACTAAGCGTCTGAGCCATTGCACAGCCTTACAGAGCATTTACGCCAGGTCATGAATTTGTACTGAAAACTCGTTAAGAATAAGCTAGATATTTCAAATAATTTGAAATTATTTCGAAAGAAAACACATTCCTCGGTCGGAGAGGGACGTGGATTCTCTCTTACAGAATTACAAATTTGGAATATCAGATTTTCATGCTTCCGCTTCTTAGAACAAGGATTTCCGAGCAGAATTCATAAAGTTTTTCTGCTGTTGCATAGATTTGTAATCCAGCAAACTGATTATTGTAACATTATTTCTATGGTGAACTTATTACTTCAGTACAGATTCTTTGTACGTTATATCTGTCGGATTTAATCTCAAGGCTTCGCATTGTCGCCATCTTTATAGTTGTATTAACCATATTTAGGCATGATTATTACCTATCTGTGTACCAAATTTCATATTTCTCGTTCTAGTGGTTCATGAGTTTTCGTTATCATTACCTAGAGAATATTTTTATTTGGTCGCCGTGTTTATATTTTATATTTTATAACAACGGCTGGATATTTTTTCAATCTCTACTACCATAGATCATTTTAAGTCTATAAAGAACGTGGCGCTGTTATAGTTTCAGCCTCCCAACTACGCGTCATCGCTGTTTGTTATTACTGCTTTTAGGTAACTGGAAAGTACGGCGTTTTGATAACCTCCAGTGGCATGAAGCTCGTACCAAATTTCGTGAAAATCTGCCAAATTATTCATAAGTTGAAATGGGAGAACAACAGACACGCAGATACTGAATGTTAATCTCATGAACCTAGGCTCCTTTCCTTTCAAGGAAGGAAGGTAGACAAAAAAATACCTTATCATTGATTCTTTTCTCAGGTTATAGATGATCCATGGGAACACTTTCTGGACTTGAACTACAGACACTTGAATACGATGAGCAAATTGAGCTACGTATTAACATGTTACCTTGCTGAGATGCTCAACTTCAGGTAATATATTCAGTATCTATGCGTTATTTTAAGGCAGAGTATGAACAAACGCAGTGCAGATGATGTGTACATTTGTCTCTGCACACAACGATCTCCGAATACACTGAATGGATTTCGATGCTATCGTGTACTTCAGATAGGAGACTCCCACGGCGGTGAGTATTAAGATTTTGGTCTGTTAATTTCAAATGACATGTACGAGTACTTTGGTAGATAAGTACCAAGTTCTCGAAGGGGCCTTCTGCCTCCTTAGTGAGTGTAGAAGAAATTTGTTATTAGATGACTGCACAGAAAATGATTGGTTAAGTTCGATTTGGATTATTTTATTGAAATATAACCCTTACTTTAAACGAAGCTCACATCTAAATTATCCATTTCCTCAAAATGGCTCCCTGTGTATTATTTGGTACAGGACACAAAACGTAGATGCCGTTAAGGTCTAAAACGTTTAGTAGGAAACTATTTCGAAATCTTAGGCCTAAATATTTAATGAAATACAAAGGAAAATAATTTCTGGCTTTACGTATTTATTTCATTTGTAGCTATACATTTATACCTGCAATAACGGATCAATATCTGCAGTGAATGAACACCAGCAAGTCTAATGAGTCATGCAAAATATCGAATACCGCATCTGGAAAGTATGGGGTCGAACTGAAGCCAGTGATTCTTAAATTGAAACAAAATATACTGAACCATACTGAACTGCCTGTATTGGGTTCATACACTTAATATATTAATACGTATAAGCTGAGGTTAGTTGGAAATTTACTCTAAGTACATAAGTTAGGTTTCCTGGCAGTGTTGCTACAAATATTTCTGAATTTGAAGGGATGTAGTCGTCGTAAGATATACCTGGAACTGTAGCCACAAATTTGTATTTCAGTTTGAAAAAAAGAGATTAATTACATGTTAGGCAGGAACCTGCAGAATAGACAGATGTGATAGTGCCCGATTGTGGGAGAGACTTGGAAAAGAGGAGATAAATATTTTAACCGAATGGAATGCTTTACCATCACTTTGATAAAATAAGAGACGTGTATAAGTATTTTAAACTTTACAAACGTGGTTTAAGTCACGGACAAAGCATGATAACATGAAATAGAAATGGGATGACAGTGAGGAAGCAAGAATAGAAGTTGCAGAAATTGTAATTTTCATATCCTTAACTTGACATAGAATTTCAGACGAAAATTAATATTGCAATAAACTTACACGAGGAACTTAGGTAAACATTACTCGTAATATAATTGTAGAAAATGCTACGGAGGCCTGTACAAAGATGCTGAAGGACTGTTGAAATAGAATATGTGAAGATATAAGGCAGATAGAACATAGAACAAGAATGAGGTCAGTTGAACAATTAAAGTAGAAGGCTGAAGCCTGTGAATGTATTGAGGTGCGTGAACCATGAAGACGAGGATGCCCCCTAATAAGCAACTTTTATATGAAGAGTATAATGGTGCGTAATTTCGTTTCAGGATGGAACTGGTGCTCACTGATGCGTGGGGGTTTCCGATAAATGGTACGAAATGGTATGCTGGGGTAGCAGGGCTCCTGCAGCGCGGCCTAGTGGACATTGGAGCCACCACCCTCTTAATCAAGAGTGCCCGACTGGACGTCGTCGACTATGCGGCAGAAGCATTTCCTTTCGTGTGAGTCGCCTGTAATGGCGATCGCCCTCAGTTACTCCTGTATACAGGATATGTTAAAGTACTTTGGTTTATATGTATTTAGGTATTTTGAGAGAGAGATAAATACAAGTAACTTCTTTTTCCCCTCGAGACATAATACTTGCATTCCTTAGTTCCTCTTGTGAAAGCAGAAAAACGTTATGAAGAACTGATCCTCCACGTAAGGAGACCTACTGCCAAAGAGGAAACAGCTTAGGAAAACTTTAAGAGTAGATGAATCTGAGGTTCTAACCAGGCTGCGATGCCAAAATGGGACAGGAGGAAACAGCTTTATGGGAAGCATGATGTGTAAAACAGTGTTTGCAATGTCTTATAAAGTTTCATGAGAGATATGTCGTCATTATTATTAAATTCAGCGCATTGGTTCGTATCCCGGCTTTAGCGTGTAGTTTAAATTTCGAAAGGGATGAACAGTACCGCAGAATGTAAGACGATATAGCGTTTCTGCTACAGGGGGAACTTCATGTTCTTGAAGCCGTCGCTTTCCGAAATGTCGATCATCTACACGCTGCCCTTCAGCCGGACGGTGTGGATCACCTACGCCCTCATAGTGGCTACTTTAACAGTTGCCCTGGTTTTCTCCATGAGAACGGAGCAGTCCCTGAAGCCGTCGGAACATGATCATCCAGTGAGATGGAGTGACGCTGTGTTGAATTCAATCGGTATCGTGTGTCAGCAAGGTACTTTCCTGAATAAATGCAGTTCCTCCTTCATGTGCCTCCCGAATATTCAGTTCTGTTTGAGTCTGCATCCATTGTGTCACAATACAAGGTGTTTTCTCTATCATTTGACAATTTAAGAACTGTGTAACTTCTTTGTTATTGAGGAAATTTAGGTATATGAAATATTCATAGATCATTTTACACTTGGGGAAACATATTCCGTCTGATGGCCCGAAAGGTCACTAACTTTATGGAAACGAAGAGCACTGGTTAGAGTTCCCGCAGAAATGGCTTTAATGTGTGATTTGATAGCAGTTTTTAGTTCCGCAATTCTGCAGTGATATTTTAGACCCTATATTTTTTAAATATCCGCACAGAAAATCAGAAACATTTAAGTCCCGTGATGTTAGTGGTTATGAGTGTTCTCCCTCAAGCAGCAGAGGATGTAGGTTCGACAAGAGTGTTCCCTCGAAAGGTCATGAAGAAAGCCAAGCACTGCGTTGCTTGGTGAGGTCTGGCTCCTTCTTGTTAAAACCAGACTAAAATTATGAAAATATCATAACCCATCAGGAAAACGACAAATTCATCACTCAGCATACTAAGATCATCAGAAGTGACTATACCCTCGACGAACATGGAAACGAAATTTCCACGTTCAGCGGAGAACCATGTGGCATTCAGGACTCTCGGAATATCACCCCCCCTAAGCGTTCCGTACTCACAAACAAAAGTGTAACGTCTCATGATTCCTCCTTACGACAATGGCTGCCCCAGCTGAATTTTGTACGAAAACAACGGCAATTCGTCATGACAGATTTTCTATTAAGTTCTGGACGAGGTTCCAATATCTTTTACAAGACGTCGCGCACTTTTCTTGAACTTTTTACTGTCTCCTGTGCTGCACCGACGTCTTCCGTACGGGCAGATGCTCTACGTCAATGCGTCGCCTACATTTCCTGTTTCATTAAGCTGTTTTTCAATCCCCTAGATAGAGCCTCTCGCTGCTGCAACATCAACAGAAATCTCTGGAGAATGTTTTCTGTTCACAGCAATACAATATACACAAGAAGATTACAAGGTTTTGATAACTAACACTTTCGAATACATCGTATGCGACGCAAACTTTTATTCAATTCAGCGCTGCTAATGGCAACAAACAAATTTTAATATGTGTAGAAAGATCTGTGACAATTTAATAGTGTCGCGTTCGATAGCAAGTAATGTATACAAATTCGGAAGTACCAGATGATAATGAGACACTATGTATTTGTTCCAATGATCTATCATCTTTCCTCTAAATGCCTCCCAATATACTGGCTGTGCATTATGTTCTCGCAGGTTAAATTCTGTTGGGCATTTACCAGAAAGTACCAGATAAAATCCCGTTATTTATTGAAATTAGTTTATTTTCTTTATGTTTGATGCCCCTCTGCTAGATGCGCTTCTGCTGCTAATGTTGTCTGTAGAAACGTTGACGTCTTTGGACCAAAAACTCTGTTGATGAAACATATCTTATACTGAAATAATTTAGCTCTTACTATTATCACTATTTTTATTAATTTCGTT